TCATTTACTTGAAAGTGAAGACACAGCTTGGAAAGACAGAGTAAGGAAGAATAACAAGGTCAGGAAATGGAGAAGTTGCTTCATCACATTTTTCTTTGTAAAGAGATAATGTTCTGGAGTGTCTATGGACATTTAATAGTTTCAAAACACAGTTAATACAAGATCACTATGGCACTGAAGATAGAGGACTAAGCCGTGTCGCCACTTGATAAAGTCAGTGCTTGGGATAAAATAAGCTGTCACAGTCCAGAAAACTCTTTTTCTTTTAAATTCCATGCCTCTTGCTCATACTCAATATCCCCTCCTTCAAAAGCTAAGTAAAACTTGCCAAGTAGAATGTAAGTCCTGGCATTTTGGCTGATGAGACTGTACTAGCTGGGATACTGTGTGGTGGAGGGAGGTGATTGGCACCTATGAGAGCAGAACACAATGTCCTACTGTTTGGGGGACAGCAATATTAATATATTGCCTTTCCTTCTCGTTTTAAGAAGAGGCACCTGCCACCATCTACCCATCCAAGGTTAAGAAAAAAAAGAGGAGAAAAAAAGGAGGAGAGATAGACTGATAATAACTTGGCATACTGGCCAGGTAGTAAAACGATCATGGGGAATAACCCAGGGAAAGGTTAATTACAGGCAAGTGTAGTGACATTGTTGTAGAAAAGAGCTGGCTCTAAGCTGGTTACACCCAGCTTTGTCACCACCTTTGTCAAAGGCTGGACTTGGGGAAGTCCTGATCCTCACTTAACTCCAATCCTGAGTGAAATCTACTACTGAAATGCAAAAACCTCATGCAACTGTTTCTGTTTGTGCAGCTGGTATGGCTGGGAATGAACGTCTTCCTCTTTGTCTGGTACTACCGGGTTTATGATATTCCAGATAAATTCTTTTACACTCGAAAACTTCTTGGGGTAAGTATAAGTTCCATCTCATGCAACATTGGCTGGCTTATATTTCTAATCAAACATTCATGTTCATATTCCCTTTAGCATTTTAAATAAATGTTCTGACCAACTCAAATAGCACCATCAGCCTCACTCCCTACATTGAAACTTCCTGGGCAAGAGTTTCTTAAGGCCTTCCAGTGTAGGACAAACAAAAGTGTGGCAGAGGGTCCGAATGGCATCTCTTCCTGCCCAAAGTCCTATGCCATTATTTGGCTTAAAGGAGAAATCCAATACTGACTCTGAAATGGAAGGTTGGAATGATCCATCCAGGGGTGACACATGTGGGACAAGTGGGACTTTCCATATTTTCTAAGTCACCAGGTTCCTATGACTTTTGTGCATGTAGAGCCCTACTCCTAATGACATGTTATACAATGATTTTCAGAAAATCAGCCTCTCTCTACATATGGAGATTTTGAGGAATTTGCTCAAGGGCCACATCTGTTGCCTAG